GAAGCTGCTGTTGGGATCTGGAAAAGGACTTCCCCTTCACCCGTCTCTTCTACCGGGGAAGCAGAGGCATGTGTGAGCATTTCTGGGTCTTGTTCCCACGGCACCCACCTGTCCCCTCCGTGGGCCTCAGAAGCGGGTCAGGCCTTCGATTAACTCTAAATCAGCCACGGGTCAAAGGGTGCAACCTGCGGGAGCTGCTTACTGATTAAGTAATTTGAATGCTCTCTTTCTGATAAACTCCTTTTATGGTTGTGTTTTGGTTAATTAGGGCAGGGGCAGGTTAAAACAAAGTCTCGAAGATTGCGTGAGACAGGTGCGTGACTGACAGAGCTTTGGGGATCTGTCACGCAAGGAGTTCAGTAGGTGCCGGCTGCAGCCCACGGAGAGCACAATTCTCAGAGCCAGCTAAGATTCTAGCAGAGGAGAAAATACAAATAAACAGTCACCAGATCTCATGACTGAACTCTAATCTTAGAGCAGGGGAAAGGGCAAGGCTTTGGTCTCACCAAGAAGCAGTGAGGAGAGCAAAGGCCATGACTCTCGGAGTTAGAGAGAGGGCTGTGGGAGATCAGTATAACAGAACCCAAAGGCAGCCTCTGTGGGAAGGGGAACTGATGAGCCTTACAGACTCTTGAGGCTGAGTTTTGCCCACTCACACTCCCTCCTGGATTTCTTCAGTAACAGTCTGAAACCTCACTAGAGAGAAGCCCCAGGACCTGAGTGTCCCGAGTAGTCTGGGCAGGACCCCTTATGTATGTCCTAGGGGACAAGGGGTGCTGCCTTTTCTGTGGTCCCAGTAATTCTTTAGCTCTCAGTTGGCAATGACAGATAAGGCTTGGAGCACATCTTTTACATCTCTTGGGAGCCAGAAGCTGCTGTGGGGTGGTTCTGCCCTGTAGCCCATTGTCCTGATGTGCTGGTAGTGGCACAGAGCAGTGGCATCCCTGGTGTGACAACAGTCTTGCTGCCATTCTTCTGTTGCCAGAGTGGGAGTTTTCCAGTGAGGAGTGAGTCAGGTGGGCTGCAGCCATAGCAGGACAGAGGCTTTCCAGAGGGGCTGGAAATAGCACATAGCTCAGCTAGACCAGCACTGTCCTTAGAGATAGAGGCAGACACATTTTCCACTAACCCTTGTTCAGCTGGTTTGTTTTGGTGCTCACACACTTCTCCATTTTTGTGAATCTGCATCAAGTCCCCTCAGAATGGGACATAATTTTCTGCTTGGCAAGCACCTCAGGCTGTTGAGTAAAACAGTGAAACAGGCAGTGATGCAGAGTCCTGCTCCAAACACAGCTTGGTTTTGATGACTGATGCTGAGGGTGGCTCCTGGCCTACTTTGCAGGGCACCATGGAAGACAGCCAGTAAGCAGCAGGCCTAACCTTGCTACCTGCTTGGCTTTTCTCTTTATTCGTTTTCTGGATGACAAATGACATAGAGAATAAAAATTTTCAGCTCCTTGGAGGTTCCTGAATAGACCTTAAGGATTAACTGGCAAAAAGAGATAACGGGATATATATATATATATATATATATATATATATATATATATATATATATAAAAGGTAAAGGTTTATATAGGTATATATAAACATATAAAGATATATTTATAAATAAATAAATATATATAAAGACAAAGGTTTAAAGGTATGCACACAGGATTATAAACATGGCTGGAACCAGTGGAGAAACAGAGAAACAGATAAGAAGGACTGCAGTGTTTTTTTGGCAACTTATGTAACACAGAAAGAGCAGCACATGTCCAAAGAAAAAGTTCAAGGAAAGGTCACCTTTAATATCGAAGCATTCAGTGAATACAACCACCAGAGACCCCTTTTTATGACTCTCCAGGGCCAGAAAAGAACTTCCAATAGGAGGCAGATGCATGAAAATTCATTCTAGGAATCAGTTCTGTGTATTAGATAAGAAGCATGTATTAATAAATATGTATGATTATGATGGATAAAGAAAGACCTTGTTGCAAAGTCTCACCACACCCACAGAACAAAGAGATAACAAATGCTTGCTTCCTAGTGCTTCAAATTGTGTTAGGAAGTTTATTCCAGCCTGTTTCAGTGTCATGGATATAGTATGAATTGTAAAGAAAATATGTAATTTTAGATTCAGGTCTAGTCTTTCAGGCATGTAATTTGAAGACTCAATTGCTTTAGCTGTTGGAATGTGAGCCTTTAATCCAATCACAGTGGGAAAGCTTTAGGATATATTAACAAAGTTGTCTTTGCCTGGTTACTTAAAAATTTTGACAGATTATTATAGCTAGGAAATGCTTTAAAGTGTAAAATGAGAAGAGCTGAATTCTTGCAGCATCAGGAAGGACTAAGCTCCGTTAGGAGAAGTCTGAATTAGCTTGGCCCAGGTCTGTTTTTATAATAGTTGTCTATCCTCCATATTCTGTGTACTGCATTAAAGTAATGCTGGAGTGATTGGGGCAGCTTCTCAAATGAACTCTGCTCACTTGCCAGCAGCCAGCCAGGAGTTGTTGTGCCTCAGTCATGTTATCTTGCTAGAAACTGGCAGCCCAATTCTGTTTTGCTTTTTAGCTTTATCCATTTCCCATGTTCCTGTTGTTGCTAGGCTTGTGTATGAATGTGATACAAATTTTCAGTTGGTTAACTCCAGAGACTGAGTGGATTTGCTCTGCCAGGCTGTTTGGTCTGCAAGTTGATTCTGAGGAACATTATTGTTTGAAGAAGATTACAGATTCATAGATTATAGGAGAACAGGGTTTTATTTTACCATGTCTCTGCTTCACACAAGCTGTGCCTGTAGCAGAGGAACTCACCAGCAGCTCTAATGAGTTCAGAATGGTGCTGTCATTATGGGCTGGGCAACCCATCGAGATTTTCTGGTACACTTGGGAATTGTTGGCTTCTTTAGCTCCAACTAATTGAGTGTTAATGTAACTGCAGCTGAACAAAAGGTTTGTTTCTGCCTCACACTGTACTTTCAGCTTTTCTTTTTAGAAGTGCACAGCTGATGAAAATACCAGAACAGCATCAATGTGAACATCTGGCAGTGTCAGGAAGATGAGGGTGTAACAGGAGCACGTTTGTGTTTGTTTGTTGTGCAGGCCTGGCAGGATGCTGGACTTGTCCTGTCCACGAGCAGCAATGAAGCCTGTAAGCTCTTTGATGCTGTGCTGACCCAGGTATGACTAAAAATGGGATTTGAAGGGATTCCTGCATGGAACACTCTTTACTGCAGCTGATATTTAAATTCCTTATCAGCTGGGAGAGCCTCAAAATGAGGCCAGCACAGGAGTTCAGCCTTTAGCTGGCTGCAGGAAACCCTTTTAGCAGAGGGCTGCACCAGGTGCTGCAGCCATGGTGAAACCTCAGCCAGTGAGTTCATTCCACTTGATACCAACACATCAGCCCAAAACCCTGCAGAACTCCAGGGTAATTGGTTCTGCTGGTGACTGAATTAAATTAAACCCCAGTTTTTCTGTTTTTATACTACATTAAACCTTCCCAAATGCAACATTTGTCTTTTAGTCATTTGCCCTGCTTTTAAATTTTGAGTGTCGGTGAGAACAAAAAGAAAAAATCCTCCTTACCATAGAGGATTTCTCCACCCTGTCTTGCTCTGTCTCTCTTACAGTATGCAACTTGGACCAATAATGAGAGCCTTGGAGGTATTGAAGAATGTCTCTCCAAGCTAAAAGCAGCAGATCCAAACTTTAGTGAGTATAACCTTTGATTCTGAGCATGGAAAGTGCTGGGTTGTTGTCTTGGTATTTAACTGACTTGGTTGATGCAAGGGCAAGGTGATAATTTATGGAATTTTGTAAAACTTCCTCAAACTGTAGAGCAGGCAGAATGCTTTTATGTGATGTTTTTTTCTTTTCATTTCACCCAATATTTGAGTGGCTGTCATGAAAACCTTCTGAGAACTTTAGGCTTGGGAGGCTTCCTGGACCCCTGTGTCCACAAGTCGGTTTTATCAAAAGTGCTCAGCTCCTCTGGTGTTTGTGGAGCTGAAGGCTGTGCTGTGGGCTCAGCTGGTGCTGTGCTGTTTCCTGCAGCCATGGGACACGTCCTTGCCAATGGCTTAGAGCTGATTGGCACTGGAAGGAGTGTGAGGCTCGACAGGGAGCTGGGCAGCGCCGTCACAGCCATGGTGGCACTTTCCAAGGCACAGCCGCTGACAGAGAGGGAGAGGCTCCATGTGTCAGCGCTGGACGTGTTTGCCAGGGGGTGAGTCCTGTGCCACCCTGCTCAGGGGACTGGGAACAGTTTCTGTGTCTGCTGCAGGCAGAACTGAAGGCAGGCAGTGCTGGTGTGTCATGGTAGCTGACATCTAGCAAAGGATCAGGGTGAGATGTCACAGATTGTCCCTGAATTTCTCTCTCCACCCCAAGTGCCATGTCTAGCTGGGGAGCAGCACTGTGCTCTATTGCCACCACTTCCTAGCATTGAGCACTCCAAGTTTAAAATGTGCAACAGATCCATCAGTGTAGAATTAGGAAATGAAGTATTTGGCTACATCAGGGTCCAGACTCAGATGCACAGACAGAAAATTACAGGCTTCTCTCTCTTGTCTCCCTGTCAAAACCTATTTCCTTGTAAAACAGGGAGATAAGAGTGTCACGCTGTGTGCTGTAGAGGCACACTGCTTCATTCCATATGATAAATCTGTATGAACTGCAGAACATATGGGCTAATGATTCACCTTCATTATTTGTTTGCCAAACAATTGGGCAAGCATGGGTTTGCCTCACATCTCAGCAGAGGAAATGAGTAAGCTACTGAGGCCCTGCCACTGGGTTTGATTCCCACAAAAGGAGAGGGAAGGTGTTTTTATACATACAAAGTTCCATTAATTATGGTGGGTCCTTCTAGGAACTATTCAGCCCTGGAGGAAAAGTTTTAGATTTATGATTTAAGCTTGTTTCATTTTCCTTGTGTGTTACAGTGATTTGGTGTAACCCAACACAATTTCTTTCATAAGATTTCTCAGAAGGTGCCAAATGAAGATAATCCTATTATTATCTTAGAAAAGACTAAAGAATTCCTTCAAGGAAGACAATAAATCATTTGGTGCTGAATTTTCTATTTTTCAGTATAGTTTGAGTTCAGGACTAACAGTAGGGGCAGGCGTCTGTGCCTTCTTTGGTGATGGAAATAATTTTTTTATTTCTAGCCAACTTCCAAAAGCTTGTGAGCTATGGGAGCAGATTCTGCAGAGCCACCCCACTGACCTGCTGGCCCTCAAGTTTTCCCATGACACTTATTTCTACCTGGGGTACCAACGCCAGATGAGAGATTCTGTTGCCCGTGTTTATCCTTTCTGGACTCCTGATGTTCCTCTGAGCAGGTGAGTCATGCTTCACTTGGAAATTCCTCTTTACCTGGTGTGCAAGGACTATGTAGTTTTTAAGTTCAGATTTACAAGTTCAGGATCTTTTGGAAACAAGACATGCAGACAAAAATCAGGAGTCTAGAAGTTAATCAAACTTGACTATGGGTAGAACATGTATTGAGTATCCCTCTTGACACTGTTGGTGAGGGATTTTTCCTAAGTGAGTGTCAAATATAACACATGGTGTGTAATACATAGGATAAAATCATGTCCTTACCCAGAACAGTGGTAAAATTTCTTCATTTTTTCCAAAAAAATACTATTCATCTTGATCCATTAAATCAATAAGGTACACATAACATCCCTAATTTTTCTTTATTTTTATGGCTTAATAGGATGATTTACAACCAGTTTTAAAGGGCCACTTCATGTAAAAGTACCCTCCTGGTGTTTTGTGGGCACTGGGGAAAATGTAGATTACCTTGGAGATGCTCAGATAGCTTTGGTGACAGCAGTGTCTGTCTTCTAGCCTTTTTATTCTGCATCTTGCAGCTGTTATGGAGATCAGCAGCTGGTTCTGCAGCTGGTGATTCCATCTCATCCAGAGATGGAAATGTCCATTCTGATGTGCTTCTTGTCACTGTTTGCCATACTGGTGTCTCAGGGTCACTCATTTCCCCTGAGAATTAGCTTGGTAGTTCTGTATCCTGTGAGCTTGAACCTTGTTGTAAATTGCTCTGCAAGGACTTTTTTGAGTTAAATGCTCTTTCTAGTGTGTTTTTTCAGTCCTGGACTAAACCTTGTTATAAATGGATGATGTGTTCTTTTTTCCCCTTCTGTTAGCTATGTGAAGGGCTACTACTCCTTTGGACTGGTGGAAACAAACCTTTATGACCGTGCTGAGAAGGTTGCCCATGAGGTAAACTGCCTGCTGTTGGTGCTGAAAGGCTTGAGGATTCTCACACAGGGTGTTGGTTCCTGCCAGCTGGTGGTCAAAGCAGCAAAGAGACACAGCTCACATGGAAATGCTCACAGACCTTTGTGAGACTTGTCGATGACTCTTCTCACATCTCTGCCCTATTGGGGTAAAAGGGTAACTAGAGGTCCAAGTGTGCCAGGAACCCACGTCTTAAGAGAGGAACCCACCTGCCGTGGCAAAAAGTCCAAATATGGACAACACTGGACAAAACCAGACCAGGGAAGAGCCTTTTTTTTTTATTGTTGGCACATCAGTCCCAGAACATTGTTACAATGGAGATAGATGTTAACAGCTCGCTGGTCTACAGGGCAATGTCCCAGAAGGTGGGGTAATACGGAAGGACATGACATCATCTCAGTCTAGATTTCAGCCAATCACACAAAAACAAGACATATTGACAAGCCTTCTATCCAATCTTATAAAACATGGTAGTATGGTAGTTAAAACAAAGACTATTTCATAAAAGACAAAGAACAGAGCTCTATTCATGGTAACCTTCTAAAGATATACATTAAATAAACTTGTTGCCATCCTAAAGCCAATTCTACAGAGGCCTATTGTTATTTGTCACGTGTGCTTTACTGCTTGGGAAACTTTTCTGCTTGTTTGGGAACCTTTTCTGATGTATTTGCAGATGCTAACAAACTCCAGACAAAGGCCTGTATGCCTTTTAACCATTTCCTAAAAACCCTCTACCTTTAGGGATTCCAACATGCCCCTCCAAGGCAGTTTCATGGACTGCATTCCCCTCATTGCTTATGAGCATGCCCTGTCACATGGGGTCAGAACACCCCTATAAAATCCCCATATCAGCCACCTGCTGCTTCCCACATGTATAATTGCCTGTTTGCTCCTATTAAGGAATGTTGGATTGTTTTGACATAATCACTCCTGTTTGGCTTCCTGCTCCCTTTTGTTTTCCCAGATGCTTGTTCCTGGGTTGTTGAACAATTAACTGTAACAATGTTCCTGGGGATCAGGATCAGGCAGCCTGTTTCCTTTCTATGAAGATAGTAATTACACTTTCTCCAGTCCTCAGGGTTATCCCTGTCCTCCAGGAGTCTCAGACACAATTAATCTCTGATGGGTGTTCTTGGCAAAACTTCTGGTACATTGAATTGCTGAAAGTGAAAACAGAGACTAAACCCTAAAATTTGACCTTTACTAGGTTCATGATAAACTTTGCAACATGCAAAAAGCCTAGTGGGAGTTTTGGGCCAAGGAAGAGGAATTGGCCATTTTTGGAAAAGAAATAGTTATCTGCAAGGCACGATATCATGGAATATATTGTGCCTGCAGTTCTTTCATTGATGCATGTCTGTGAAATAGATGTCATTTCACAGTCATCATCACAGCCTGTGTTTTAAAGTGTTTAGCAGGTGTTCATCTCCCTGCAGCAAATGCTGAGAAGTGAAGTCAACCAAGAAACATTCTCCTCCTTTTCTGTCCAAATCTGACTTGTGGGCTGTGGTTAGTTGGGGTGGTACAAGGATGTACTTAACATGCAGCAAGTTAAAAGGAGTCTCTTGTTTCTAGATAAGCAGTGATAAATGTCTGTATTTGCAAGTTTGTAAGGCTCATTGTGTTTTCCTGTTTTTCTCTCACAGGCTTTGGCTATAAATCAGACAGATGCATGGTCTGTCCATACCATAGCTCATGTCAATGAAATGAAAGCTGAGGTGGAGAAAGGCTTAAAATTCATGAAGGAAACAGAAAAGAACTGGAAGGTAAATGTTTTTGTGGCATCTCTGAGGAAGTTATTTTTAGTTTTTCTTTAATTCCTGCAGCCAAGTTCTTGAGTCAGGCCTGCAGCCCTGTTACCATCAAGGCAGAGTTTGCATATAAATCCTCCTTTGAGGTGCTGCTACTTCCCATGCAGCTTTTAAGCAAGAGGCAGGAGGAAGTGGCATGTCATGAGGGATGTGACTGTCCCTATTTGTGATCTGTTTGTGGTTATAAAGCCAAAGGGACCACTGATTCTTTCATAAGCTTTTTACTTAGGCTGAAGTAAGCACAGACAGTCATTTGAAGGACCTGGCTAAATCTCCTCATGGGACATAAGATGAGATGAAAAATGACACAGTCAAATCAGCTGTTTCAAAACACTAAAATACTTGTTTGCTTCTGGATGGGGAGGGGATTTTAAGAACAAAGAAAAGAGAAATTGCGCTCTTATATATTTTCTAATGTACTAATTACTTTCTAGTGTGTCAGTTACCTTTATATATCCAACATGTTTGATACCATCTTTCAGAGAATTGAACAGGTTAATTAGTCTGTTATGTGGTCCTTTGCTGTAAATTAAGTTTTATTTTGTGTTTGATAGCATTTACCCAGTGATTAAGTCTGTTATATTGAGAGCTGAGAGCTGTGAGGTTTGCCTTTGCTGGAACCTACAAGAGTCTATTTTAGAGGCATCTGAGCTGACTGTCCCACCTCACACCAAGAGCAGGACTGGACAGTGGGACTAGAAAGGCTGGGTTTGTGCTTGTTTTATTTTTTAAGTTAAGCATTCAGATACTGGGCTTGGAAATGCAGACAGAAAACTCGTGCTTGAAGATCACACCAGAAATCATTTTTTCTTTTAATATGTTAAAAGAAGTTTTAATGAAACAGTGATTGACAGTTTGGGTGATACCTTAAAAAGCCCAATCAGTGATTTTTGGATATTTTTTTTTAACTCTTGGTTCTTCAAATAATTGCATGTCTCTGAGATTCTTACTCTTTTATCTAAATAACCAAAAGAGTCTTACTCTTTTATCCAGAATCAAGTGCAAGCCCACTTGTCTGTAGCAGTTGAATCTTTTTTAGAACTCAAATTTAGCAGCAGGGAAAAGGTTTTGCTTTATTTATTCAGGTAATTCCATGATCTTGTTTGTATGACATTTGGAATGGCAGTATGCTATTCAACTTGATATTATCAGTGTTTATGCCAAGCACATACCTGCCTCTGTTGCTTGGGTTTGGTTTATGATTTAATATTAAACAAGCAAAGATTACCAGAATGTTTATCTTAGAAGTCCTGACATTTATTGGGAACCTTTACCTTTGTGCTTCCTGAAAGTGCTTGTTACAGTTGTCAGTATGACAATAAAGATGATTTTTCCACTTGTGAGACCATTAAATTTAACTACAGAACCAAGAGAGAGTGGGAGGAGAGGGCTGAATCTTTCTGGTATTTTAATTTTCACCAAAGGATTATGAAATTACATTTGTCTGTTTTTAATGCATTCACAAAAATGAGCTGCAATTGCCTTGAGCTGCAGGCTGGGGAAGGGGATTTGAAGTTTTGGTGGCATCTGGAAAGGACAGTGTGAAATTGGGGCAGTGCAGCAAAAATTCATCTCACCTGATGAGCTGCCAGTGTGTTTGGCACCTCTTGCAGCTTCTGTAGCCTGTAGTAAAACTTGTTTAAAAAGTGATTCCTCCTTGTCTGAGGTAGGTTCTAGATGGCTGAGATGAATAAAGCCTCCATATCCTCCTCTCTCCTCTGTCTGGCCAGGTTATTTCAGACAAGATGCCTAAATTTTAGATGAGACAAATCTTACTCTTCTTAGAGATGTGGATGAAATTTCGTTTTTAAAAGGGTGCTGAAGAAAGGTGAGTTCTGAGGCATCCAAGTGAAACTCTTATCTGAAAAATTATGTGGGGGGAACCTTAGGTTTGAGATGTTGCCCTGAATGGCTACAAGTGTACCAAATGAGAAAGTGTCCTGGCAGCTGATTTAAATTTCTTGTGTCTTTTGTGTCTCCTGAAGTACTCAGCCTTCCCGAAGGAGGAAACAGAAATCTGACTAGATAACTTGGAAAGGGGAGTTATTTTGTAAATAATTTTTTTCTCTCTCCAGAGCAGTGATATGCTTGCTTGCCATAATTACTGGCACTGGGCTTTATACTACATTGAAAAGGTATGAGATATTTTCATAAATGTGCTTTATGGTCTGGATAAGTCATCTAAAGCTCTTTAAAAGGCAGAACTAACATTTACTTGGGGGGGTCAGCTATTTGAAGGGATGTTTTTATAAAATAGCACAATTCTATATTTACAAAGTGGCATAGTTCTTTATTACTGTTATTTTGAGAATTTTAATTGCATTGGTCAGCACTTTCAGGATCTTTCTATGAATGTTGAAATATTGCTGTGAGATTATTGCATGTTTGAAGATCCAGTAGTCTCACTAATTACATTTAGCACAGTTATTTGATAGCAAGATGAACACAGATCTCTAATTTTGAGACAAAAATTAACAAAATTCTAAGCAAATTCAGCACTCATTTTCTGGCTCAAAAATTTGCTGACTATAAAAAAAGAGGACATAAACTAAATTGGGTTGCCAATTTAATTATTGTTACTAATTCTTACTATTGAAAGCCTTTAGAAATGGTTGAAATTTTGCCCAGCCTGTCAGAATTTCCTTGGATTTAATGCTTAGCACTTGTGGGTTCAGTTTAAGAGGGGGATAAATGTGGCATCCCTGAGAAGGCAGCATCCTTTGGCCAGAAGGAAGAGTAACACAGGAGGAACATAATTCTCAACAGGAGTCCAACAGTTTATTTATTTTGTCACTTCCTATCTACATAACTTTTTGAAGGCTACTTAAAACTGATTTTTTTCCCATCTCTTTGCATGCACCATGGGATGCACTGATTTTTGCAAACATCTGTGGAAGGAACATTAGAATGAGAGGCAATACCTCCATGTTTCTCCTTCTTGCTCAGCTTGTGCCAGTATTGGTACTTCTTCTTAGATGGAACCTCAACATACTGATCATTTTGCCTATTAAATCCAGGTTTTTGTGCTTTGAATACCTCAAGGTTTCTTTGGCTTGGTTTGTTTTGATGAGGCAGTGCTGAGGAGCTGTTCTGGTGTCTGTTCATGTGTTTGTGTCTGGTTGCTGTGTCTGCACATTAACCCACAGTCCTCCTTTGCTTTTCCAGGGGGAATATGAAGCTGCTTTGACAATTTATGACAAGCATGTGAGTAGGGGCCTTTTTATCTTTACTGAGATCATGCAAGATGGTGATGTGATGCTGATCTGTGCTTTCTTCCTCTTCCTGTGTGACATTGAAACCTATCCCAGTGCATGATCTGTGTATAAATATTGTTCACATCTGTTACCACAGTCTCTTAGGGAAACAGCTTCTCAGCACTTCTGGGGAAAAAGCCCCAAGGATTGAGTGGTACATAGTTTGAGTGCTTGAAAGAGCTACAGTGGTACTGATTTCCATTCTGTCCACGTTTCTTATTCACACCTTTCAAAGGTAAATTAGTCCAGTCACCTCTACAAAGAACTGGTTTTGCATGTTAGGTACAAAGTCAACTGGATTTCAAAACAACCTTTGTAAATCAGCAGTATCAATTTAGATAACATAGCACATCTTTGTAAGGATTGTAAAAATACTGCAAGCATTAGGAAAGCTGCTGGGCAGATTTCTATCTGCTAACATTGATCCAGTGAAGTAATATTTGTGGCAGAATTTTGGAAAAATAACATACTGTGGTGACTCTCCATATTTACTGAGAAAAACAACACATGTAAACCATGTAAGTTTCTGTCATTGCAAATTCCTTTATTGAAGAAAAATGGAATTAGGACTATTACAAAACAAGTAATTTTGAATTAATAGAAGGATAAAATTAATTTAGTACTGTGAAAATAAGTTTGATAATCTGAGGATGATTCCACTAATGCATCACTTGGTCAGCCTATGAGTACTTGTGATTACAGATTGCTCCTGTGTGCCTGGCAAGTGGAAGCATCCTGGATATAGTTGATAACTGTTCAATGCTGTACAGGCTTCATCTGGAAGGTAGGATATCCTCTGGCCATTCTTTTTTATCTCTTTTTCCTTTTCTCTTCCCCTGCCATTCATTTTGGGGAAGTACTTCAATAAAATTACACAGCAAGTTCGATCAGTGTTGCAGAAGAAACTTGAGAAAAACATCAATCTGAAGTTCCTAATGTCCATAAGCTTTATTCTTCCCAAAAGTTTCAATTTTCCATGCCAGTGTGGCATAACAGCTCCAGTGCATAAGCCTCTAAAAACCCATAGCACCTTTCTGGAGGTAAATTTCCAATTAGATCCTTTTTTTTCCCTTTTGATCCTGATTGAAATAGTTATTATGGGCCTATCAGCCTCTGGCTTTTGTACTCCCCTCACTCAGTGGCATTTCCCCTTTTTCAGTCAGTGTTTATACACTGGGGTTCATGGCAGGGACATGATGGGCAGCCAGTATTGCACACTGCTCTGCTAAAACACTAATGATGTATTGGGGTTTTTATTAAATCCTTCTTCTCACTCTGCCTTGTGATTCCTACAGATGGCTCATGGTGAACAGCATAAGCAATCTCATAATAAAGCCAGAAGCTCACACAATGCAGACTAAAATAATGCCCTTAAACTCCTGACAGTCGAGAAACTCTTTGCCCACATAGGGCAGGCTGCAGCTGAGCATTATTGCTGCATACATTCTGCTACAGCAGGAAATGTTGAGTTCAGTGGGAATGCATTTTATGCTGAGTGGCTGACAGGAATTGCAGAGTTGTACCTTCTCATGTGGCAATGTTATTGAGAGAAGTATGTTTTACTCTTAGGTGTAAAGCTTGGGGACAGGTGGAATGATCTGCTTGGGGTTACAAAGAAGCACACCAAGGATCACATTCTTCTGTTCAATGATGTGCACTACTTGATGTCTTTCCTTGGAGCCAAAGACCACAAAACTACTGAGGAGCTTTTAACAACTCTGCAGGAACTGGCCAGGTAAGCAATGGAATTCCTGCACTGGGCTCAGTGAAAAGCCCTCTGAACTTCAGGGCCGTGATGTCTCTGGCTTGCTGAAGCTCCAACATGCTCCTCCCTGCCTTAGCATGTCTTCAGTTAGGAGATCCAAATTATTATCTATTTATTGAGTGAATGTCTAGAGGGATTCCTTATGTTGTTGAGCAGAAATCTTTTGTGTTTGAGGTCATGGACAGCACCTGAGCAGTTGCTGTCTGTTTCCTTTTAGTGGGGTCACACTAAGCTGTGTTACAGACAAGGAGTAAAGTGTATGAATAAGAACGTTCTACAAGATGTGTCAGCTGGCTGTGGTGGGTCTTTTCTGCTCTAATTTAAAAGGTTAATAAGAGAACATTAGTTGGTAGTGATATTCTAATGGCTACTCTTTGATGTGTTGTTAAGTCCATCTGCAGAATATTAGGTTTCAAGTACTACTAAAGTAATAATCTAGAATATTTCACTTTCAAATTAAGTTATTTGAAAAAGTTTCATATTCAAGTACTGCATCCAAACAATGAAGGTTTTGTGTTCCCTTAGGTATTAAATGACTGTGAATTGCCTTGTTTATCTTTTTAAGGGGTTGATAAATAGATGCTTTAAATGCAATTTCTTCCCCCTACTAGACCCTTTTTTCCTCTGTTTAAACATCTGTTGCTTCCTTTGCCTTTAAAAAGAAGGAAGGAAGGAGAACCTGAAAATCTCTTTGTTCCTATTTGTAGTTTTGAGGAATACTATAACTTTTAAGAATACTTATAAAAACAAATAACTTTCAAAGCAAGCCTAAATATGTCTCATTTAACTAAAGCAGAAAACAGCAAATATCTTTTGTAATTTATTCTATTATTTATATGAGTATGTCAGGATATATAAAGTATAGAAAACTATCCACCAAAGGCTTTAATGAATATATATTCATATAAGCTATTTATTCTTTTGCCCAGTGCTTTCTTTCACCTACTTTCAGCCTTAATAATACATGTGTACATTTTTAGCTGCAATTTGAAAAATTATAAAGCTTCATTTCATTATTTGAGAAAGCAGGCTGTAGGGACGGTATGAATGATTGGATTAATTTACATCTGTCACAAATATGTAATATATAAATGATAGCCCAGAGGCGTTTTGTATGTGTTAAGAAAGCAGTGTTACACCCTGGGCACAAACATCTGGCATTGCACCGGGATTTTTGCCTGGCCTTAGCCTTGGAAAGTCGCTGGGAATTTGTCGGGTGTCCCATGGCGCTCTCTGGTGGTTGGTGTCGCAGGTTCCTTTCTGTGGAAATGCTGGACAAAACATGGAAACGAGGAGTTGTTCCATCATTTTCATCGCTGGCTGTCTCAAGCTGCTTCAAGTCTGTTGTGCACTTTTATCTTTGTAGGATGCCACAGTTTGTTTAAGGAATGATCAGCACATAGGGCAGTGTTGCCTCCTGGAAAATGAAGGCTGGCCCAGTGAAAGTAAAGGAAGTTTTGTAACCCTGATGTGAGAAGGAGCTGGCTTGCAAGGTCATGCTGGGAGCTGTGTGCAAGGACTGGTGGCCACATGTGGCCAGACAAAGGACTTGCAGTAGGATGCTCTGGTGGGGTCAGCACAAGAGAAACTGCACTTTTCTTACTGCCTAGCCCAAACTGTTTATTGCAGTGCTAGGAGGGTTGGGCTTGTGCCTTTTGTGGGTGTATTCAGGAGGATAAAAACTGATTGCTGGATGAGTAACA